AAACACGCTGATCACCATAATCACCCAGTCTCCTGAAAAGGACAAAAGCTGTTCCCACAGCTATAAATACTCAGCTATCCAACAAACAGCAACAGAGCATGGACAGCGTTCCTACTCCTGTCCTCTGAAGATGCCGGCCACAGAGACTGGTGAAACGTCAGGAAGAACAACCTTCAGAACATGGCCAAAGAGCCCAAAAAACCCACAACAGCCATCTTTCCAATAGATTTATTTTTTTAAAAAAAGATATATAATTATTCATCTTAAGCCCCCCCGCCCAAGTAACAGAAAAGTAACGAACAGCAAAATAAGCAGTGTGATGATTCATTTCAACATCTCAACCGATAATGAACACAGCCTTCTTGGATTCCTCCTCTAGCATTGTAATGATAATGGGAAGAAATTACTTCTGAAAAGCATTTTTGCAAGCTCTGTCTGTGATACAGATTTCAGTTTGCTCATCCTTGAGAGATGGCTGATCTATGTCATTTTGGCTCTGGATGCCTCCAGTGTAGGGAACTCAGCACCTCTGGGTCATTCTGTTCCCTTGTTGAACAACTTTTTTGAGCTATTTAGTCCAGGTCTGCTACCCTGTGATTTCCACCCATTCTAACACCATGTTCTAAAGCAAAAAAGTAGAGAAGTCTGTTTTATTTTCTCATGAGAAACCAACTAATATCTGAAGACTATCATGTCTAAAAGTACACCGTTTGTTCAAAGGTTCGTGGGAAGATCTGATTGTTCTTTAGATCCCCTGCTATCTTGTTTGCCTTTCTCTGGCGTCTCCATTTCTGATCTTCAGAGAAGAAAACCAAATCAGTGCTTCATACGGGGACCAGATGAAGGCAAACACGCGGAAGGATAAGGACCCCACCGGCTAACGACAGAATGAAGATCTGCAGAACACCTTGCAACGACTAAATCCACTGAGTGCAAATTATAAAGGAGTCGAATTAAATATGGTGACCAGTATAAATGGGAGAAGACCTGTGATATCCATGGCATAAAAGATCTGGAGCTAAGGAATGGGAGGGAATATTTATTCAGGAAACAAAGGGTCACTTCTCAACAATCAAACTCACTTCCTCAACGTTCTCACCAATGGACGGAGTGATCATCCAGAAATGATGGTCAACAAACCGTCCGTCGATTCCAAAGCAAACAGTCCAATGGATCAACCACACACAAAGCAGCCACCAAAGGGTGTCAACCAAATGGATCTGCATGACTTAAATAGGCTTCCTGATCATTTGCATGATTGGATTGTGTTTTGTTTTGTTTTTCTTTTGTAGGACCAGTCTATGGGGTTTGAATTTTTTTTAAAAAAACTCTTGCTATTCCTAACCAGTGTCTACATTCTGGGTATTCCAGAGAAATGCACATGTCTAAATAGCATGGAGGGAGAGAGGAGGTTAGGTTGCAGCTATATGGAATGTGGGAGAGCCTGATCCATGTGGCTTCCTTCCCCTCTCCAACACACACACAACACACAGACACAGAGAGAGAGAGAGAGGGAGAGAGAGAGAGAGAGAGATTTTTTCAGTAAGTGGTCTCTCTGCTGGATCTGCAGGTCGCTGTCTCCCGCTTTGGAACTGCAGTGCTTCGCAAGGGGAAAAGCAAAGTTGTTTGGTTGTTACTTTATCTCCACTGCGCCTTGCAAATATGGGGAGTACAGGAGCCCTGCATGCCCAGAGAATTCTCAAGAGCTGAGTTGTCTGCCGTCGGTGCGACGTTTCCATGTGTCTCTAATTAGAAACACAGCGCTGTGAAGTGTATCTCCTTTCAGCAGGGCGAGGGATGATATTTATCAGTGAGTTTGGAAGACCTTTTTATTTTTTGGGCAGAGGGGGCAAGGCAGAAGCTGCTTCTAATTTAAAAAATCTTAGAGAACCGTCTTTAATGTTTATGCCTCCTAACACATTGATCGCAATTAATTTGCCCCATGGAAGGAGACAGAAAAGAACCTTAATTGATCAGATCTGCTGGTGTGTGTGTTTTTGTTGTTATTTTAGTCCCTTTGGTAAATTTGGGTGCTAATTATAGCTGGGATTCAGAGTCACACAGACTCTCCCTTACCTCCACTGTATTCCTTTTCATACTTGTGCTGAACCCGTTTTTGAAAACTTCCCTTTTGTACAGCAGGGGGCGCTCTTGAGCTACTGCGTCGAGGTTGTCTTTCAAGTATTCCAAGGGGGGAAAAAACTTTATGTATGAAAGCGTCTACATGCCTGTATAAGTATCAAAAATTCACTCCTGTTTCTTCAAGTTAACCATAATCTCTAAGATTCCGTAATACAGGAAATCAGTTCTGGGCTAACAAATTTAACAGCAATTTGACATAAAAAGTGCAGTGTGTTGGAACAGATTTCGTTCCTTTGGAATTGGGTGATTAAGAAAAAGAAAGAAAGAAATCTCTCTTTCATGCACGGACAATGTATTTGCTTAAATTATACACTTGAGAGCTGTGTATATTTATTAATATTTTTTACAGGAACAAAGGGAAAGTACACCGTCTTGCCCCCCCTTGTTCTCTTAAGCGGTCACTTTTCTTTATAGCCACAGAAAACTGGCCTCTTCATATTATAAAATAGCAGAACCATCAAAACACAGCTAATTTGTTGTGTTGTCTGAAGGGTGGGACAGCTTTGAGCATATGGTTTAGGAACATGGCGGGCTGTGTTTACCTCGAGGTAATCTTCATGTATAGATTTAAGCACGAAACCATTAGACATTGCTTCTCGTAATTAACCCTACTCTCTTCAGCAGCCCTTGTACGTGTTCAAAACATATACCTTGGTGTCTCTCCACTTTACAGATGTTTTCATTCCAAAACAAAAAACACCCTAAAACCAAAACATTTGGGGGCCATGACGGTAAATGTGTAGGGTTTAAAAAAAGAGAGGAAAAAAAACCTGTAATGTTTATTCTTGGCATTTCTTTTCCTAAGGGTAGTTTTCTCTCACAGCTCGCTCTTGTGATGTAAATGTTAAACCTTTCATTTGAATGACATTCTGATAAAACCACATTTTCTCCCCCCCCCGCCCGCGCCATTATTTCTTCATGAATTTATGAACGGTTGAAGGCAAGCAGTTTTAAACTTCGGGTGTCCTCTGCCTTCCCCCCTCCCAATCCCCCTTAAAAATATGAAAGCAATTCAAATATTTGTATTTTTTTTTTAATTTTAGTCACTCAAGATTAGCACATTATCATCCTTGCCATCAAGATAAAGTTCTGGCTGAATTCAAAGGCAGAGTTACCATTTGAAAGGAGTTGTAGAAGCTTTGCTTTCTGGGTAGATTCTGTTCTGAAAGGCTGAAATCTCATGTGATGCTAAAGAGCCTCACTCAGAGCTGTTCTGAGATTCAGCACACAGACAATTTGTCTCCCAGGGTCTAGTCTCATGCAAAACCTTGCAAAATTGACATTTATTTTACCTATAAAAATGTTTAACATTGTGTGGAAGACGGAGGAGTGAGGAATGATTTTTTTTTTTTAAAGCAAGGGAGGGAAAAAGACCAAGAAGCTCAACTCTTTCTCTCTCTCTTTTTTGCATGAATGCACATTAAAATGACTGACACTAAAAATGCATTTTATTTGCAAAGTAAACTACACATGAAACCTTTAGAGAAATACCAACGAGTGGCCCATTTCTTCAGAGTTCTTCTAAACACATGCCATCATATGCCTTTTTTTTAAAGTGTGCATCGTAACATACGGTATAAACACCTCTCTCTTCATTGGACAGTCCATTTAACAATTTAACAGAGAGCAAATTGACTGAACTCATTTAGCGATGTAGCAGAATTGTGTGTTTGGAACACATTTCCCTTGGTTATCTCCATGTACTTCAGTTTGTCCGTAATTAATATTCAAATGCACCATTTTCCTTACAAGTATCTCCAAATGTCAACAAATTTTGTGTGTGTAAGAGAGGCTAAGAGTGAATGCATCTCAACTCCTCTGCAGAAAAAAATTGGTAGAGGGACACGGTGGTTTTTGTACAAGCTAGTGCAAATTTATTTATTTTATTTTATTTATTAAATTTATACCCTGCCCATCTAGACCGAAGTCCACTCTGGGCAGCTAACAATTAAAAATGGAATAAAAACTATATAGTTTTTAATGCAAATGTTTGACCGAGCGATAACCCTCAGGGAGATGAGTATTTTCCTTGCCATAAAATAGTGCACCCATCAGAGAGCAAGTTAGAGCCTTCCTTTTTAATACCGTAATTTGGTATCATGCTCTCTTTTGAGATTGGTATCGGATATGGATTTTAAGACATGTTAATTGCTACCTGGAAATTATCCCCTGGAGTCATGTACTGGTTTGCAGCCATTTAAAAAAAAACCAGCTGCCATTGCACGTGGTGCAAGCTACACCTGTAGTTGGTAACAAGAAGTAATATGGCCTTTGATTCATCCTGCCATTCCAGTTTCTTCTCCTCCTGCCATTTCTGCTTGTCAAGCAAACTGATGAGGTAGAGCAAACGCCTCGCTATTGAAAACAGGGATGGCATAAAGAAAACCCCATCTTTGTTTTCAATGCCAGCCTGGCAAGTGGTCAGTTTCCCTGCTGCGAGGTTAAACTCTTTTCAAACGATGCATGCACACCACCATTCTTGCTGTATATGTCTATGGAGGAAGG